CCAGGGTCGCAGCCTCCCTCACCCACCCCTGCCTCAGCTGGAGACCTGCCCCAGTGCCCCCTCCGCGGGCAGCATCTGGAAGCCCAGGGTCGCAGTCTCCCTCACCCACCCCTGCCCCAGCTGGAGACCTGCCCCAGTGCCCCCCTCGGCAGGCAGCATCTGGAAGCCCAGGGTCGCAGCCTCCCTCACCCACCCCCGCCCCCAGCCTGCGCTTTGCTGCTGCCCTGGCCCAGGACCTGGGACTGCCTGTCCCTCACCAGTGGCTGGCCGTGGCTGACAATATCAAGGTACCCTTTGATGTGGAGCAGAACTTCCACCCGGAGTTCGATGGATATGAGCCTGGTGAGTGTGGGTGGACCCCTCCAAGGCCTCCTTTGCCCCTGCCGTGGAGACCTCGAGTGTGTCCTGGAATGCCTGCCACCCCCAAACCCGCACCTGCCCGCCATCAGCAGCACCTCCCCGCAGGAGAGACGGTGAAGCAGGCAGATGTGGTGCTCCTGGGATATCCTGTCCCCTTCTCCCTGATTCCTGAGGTTCGAAGGAAAAACCTGGAGATTTACGAGGCTGTGACATCCCCCCAGGGCCCCGCCATGACCTGGGTGAGCAGCCTGGGGGTAGGGAGCTCCTGCCCCAGTGGCCTCAGTCTCTGCCCTCAAAGTCGGCCTCACCCCTGCGCGTCCTCTTACCTCTGACCCCAGAGCATGTTTGCTGTGGGCTGGATGGAGCTGAAGGACACGGCGCGGGCCCGGGGCCTCCTGGACAGGAGCTTTGCCAACGTGGCTGAGCCCTTCAAGGTCAGCCTGGCCACACCTCCCTCCCACTGGGCCCCTCACGGTAGGACTGGAGCCGGGCCCCAGAGTGGGCACAGCAGGGTGCAGCCCTGGAGCGTCCAGCCTGACCTCCGACTGCAGCCCAGAGAGGACGGTGTCCTGGGGGTCCAGGTGTCAGCTGCCTTTGCCCCTGCAGGTGTGGACGGAGAACTCGGATGGGTCAGGCGCTGTGAACTTCCTGACGGGCATGGGAGGCTTCCTGCAGGCAGTGCTCTTCGGGTGCACGGGGTTCAGGCAAGTGCAGAGGCCGGCAGAGGGCAGCCCGTACCCCACCTGCCGCCTCACAGACCTCTCCTTCCCCAGGCTCACCCGGTCGGGTGTGACCTTCGACCCTGTGTGCCCATCGGGCATCTCCAGAGTGAGCGTCTCCGGCATCTTCTACCAGGGGAACAAGCTAAACTTCTCTTTCTCCGAGGACTCCGTGACTGTGGAGGTCACGGCCCGAGCGGGGCCCTGGGCCCCCCCTCTGGAGGCTGAGCTGTGGCCGTCCCAGGCCCGACTCACCCTGCCGCCAGGTAGAAGACCATGCCAGCCCCCAAGAGCCCAGGCGCCTGTGGCCATAGGCTGTCCACCAGGCTGTCTCCTCACCCCCAGGCTGTCCCCCTCTCCCTGCAGGACACAAGGCCTCCTTTCCCCGCTCGGCTGGCCGGATACGAAGGTCACCCCCGAAGCTGCCTGGAAGCTCCAGCTCCAAGTTTCCTGGCAGGACTTCTCGAAGATGTTAGATACCTGCTCCAGAGCCCGAAGGGCCCCTCTGGGTCACCCTTGGTCCCTCCTGCCCCACTGAGTCACTCACCCTGGAACCTGCCCTTGAATAATCAGGAGTGTCAGCTTTAGAAATGTCTCCTGGGCCTTCCCTGTGGCCACTCCCGCACCCACCCCTCCTGGACACACTCCTAGCCTGCCAGCCAGGCGCTCAGGGAGAGTCCACGCTGCTCGGCCTGAAGTTCAAGACTTTTCAACTCTAGCCTGAACCCCTCCCCAGCCTGGACACCCGTGGGCTTCCCCATGGCATCCCCACGCCACGCCTGCCTGCCTGTGGACGGATGCCGTCACCCACCATCCTGGGGCACCGCCCCAAGCTCCTGAAGGCCGGGTCTGGGCCTGCGTCACCTCTGGCCTCTCGTCCCCTTCTCCCTGAGTACCTTGGTCACCGTGACCTGCAGCTCTCTGCTGAGAGGGCAGAGGCAGGTGCAGAGCTGAGCGTGGATGGCAGGGATAAGGGGTGGGAAGGAAGGGGCTCGGCCACCTTCAGAATTCTCCAGGACTCTCAGGCGCAGCTTTGCCAAAAAGGAACTTTTCACGTCACGCAGTTGAGAGTCTGGCATGTTGGGGGTTTAATCTCAATCCCAGGCTCCTCTCGACTCTGGGCGCCTTGATCCGGTTGGGTGGCCTCTCCCAGTGTGGGGCGTGGCGGCTCTTTCCTCAACCATGCAACTTGTGGGGAGAGCAGTGGGAAGTGGGAAGTCACCAGAGAATGGGACAGAGGGACCTGAGGGTGAGACCCCAGCGCCCTCCACTGACCAGCCAGAGGGACTGGAGCCCGATGCGCGTGGGTTTGAGGCCCTGCCAAGCCTCAGCCCCAGGGTTGGGGCGTCAGCAGTTTCCCAAGAACAAGATGCTGCAGCGCTGATGAGGGCCAGGACCCCTGCAGCACGTCAGCCTGAGGGATTAAAGCTTTGGTGCCGGGAAGAGCACTACTCCTCTAAGGAGCCACTGTGCTTCCTTCCTTCTGAAGTAAGGACCGTGCCCTGGGTCCCGCTTCCCATTTCACTTGGGTCAGGCAGCCTGGGTCCCCCCGAATCTGCACCTCCCCTGCGCTGGCCTTGCGGCTGCACCCTTTCCAGAAGCAAGCTTCGATGGAGACCCCAGGGAGGGAGGGAGGCAGGCAGGCAAGGACACCTGTGCGGCTCTGGGGATCAGGATGCCCGTGTCTCCCAGGGCCTGTCTCCTTGTCTCTGCCACGCTCCGCGGCTGCCAGGAGCAGCGTGTGGGAGTGAGTGTGCTGGGGACTCACGCAGCTGGGATGGCACTCAGAGGCCTCCCAGTTTTCTCGGCTCCCCCGACAGAAACTGTGGAGTGAGATGGCCGAGACCTGTGGACACCACGTGTCTTACACCTGCCGTGACCACGCAGCTTACGTGCTGGGCTCATGGCCGCGGTGGAGAGGGGCTGTGGGCCAGTGTGCGGGCCAGTGCCTGGCGGGAGCCTCGGGGAATGCAGCCCCTACAGGCTCCCTCTGCTGCAGAGCTGCGTCCCATCCAGCGCTGTCACTGGGCAGTGAGAGGCAGAAGCAGGTCCCCGAGGGAAGCATGGGCCCCTCCTCCCTGCCAGGGTGCTGTGGGCACAGGTGTCAGGCCAGGGTGGCAGGAGGTATGTGGCCTGAAGCCTGCTGCATGTGCATGCCACACGCAGGTGTGGTCAGCTCTGCACCCCCTGAGGGGACCCTTTTGGGGGTTGTGATGGTCAGTGCATGTGTGCCGGCGTAGCTGGCCAGGGTCCAGGAGCCTGAGGCAGGGAGGTGCTGGTGACCCTTCCCCCAAGGTGGCTTACCCAGCCACTGGCCTCAGCACCTGGGCATGGGCCAGATGGTCCCTGCCCCTCCATAAGCCTGGGACTAGCAGACCGTCTTGTCCCTGGGGACACGTGTCCAGCCACACGTGGGCTGACTCCCCCCCAGCCTCTGCACCCAACACAGTTTGGTCCCTTCTCTGGCCAGTCCTGGGGCTTGGGGCTGGCACACTCTCCCAAGCCAGGCGCAGGTGGGCACGCTGCCCTTGTCCTTGGTCCATGTGGGACTGGCCCTGTCTGTCTCCAGTGCCCAGCGTAGCCTCCGCACACCTGCCTCCAGGGCTGGCTGGGCCTGCCACGAAGTCCTGGCTGTGCCTGCTGTTGGCTGCAGGCATACACAGTTAGGGGGTGCAGCCCAGGGCTCCAAGTACACCAACTAGATAAAGATTCCCACCCCAGCCGAGGGACAGCGGGCAGGCAAGGGGGATCCCTGGGGAGGGAAAGGCCCCTGGGTGGGGGGCTCAGAACCCTGGGCCACTGTGCGGTTGCAGCCCCTGCGGTTAACCCCCACGTCCTGGCAGGGGCAGCCTCTACAAGGCGTCAGGGTGTGCGTGTCCCCAGCACCCTCCCGTCGCCCGTCCTGGGGGAGGCTTTGGTGCGCAACTCGAGTAAAACAATATGAAAAACGCCCACCAGCACCAGGGGACTCAGCAAACCGCACACATGCCCGTTTTCTGTCTCTCTGGATACAGCTATGGAGGGGGGGCTGTGACCCTGCGCCATGTGTATGATGTGTGTGTGCCCAGCCCCACCCGTGGGATGCTCCCCACCCTGCCTTCCCAGACACCCCCACTGGCCTAAGAGGAAGGGAAACCACCGTGGGACTGGGATTTCTCAGAATTAAGGGGGAGCCAGGGTCATGGGGACGGGCGAATGACCCAGGAGGAAGGAGGCACACAGCAGAGGACCCCACGCAGACTTGGGGCCCACGTGGAGTTGGGGCACACCCGGGATGTTCTGGAGCACAGGCCGCTAAACCACGGAGCAGCAGAGATCAAAGGCCTGGGTCCCAAACTGCAGCTGAAAATACTCTGGGCCTCCACCCCAGAAGCCACAGGCTGCCCAGCGACGGAGAGGGCGCCAGACAGGACGTGGCCAGCGGAACAGCGGAGCTGCACAGCTGCCGGGGGACCTCCTGCCGTTGACTCAGTCGGCCCCGTGGCATTTGGCTTCGGTGGTCCCTAGGGCAGCTCCTTCCCCTATGCTGGGCAGGAAGGAGACCCAGGAGGCGCTTTCTGGAACCAGGCACTTTTAATTCTGAAACCAAGGAGCCTGGAATGTGAGGAGGGGGGCGGGGGGCAGAGCTAGGGCCTGGGCCTTCAGGTTAGGGTGAGGCCCCTGGGGTCTGGCTGGGTCAGCGTGAGGTACCCGTGTTGGGGCTGGAGGGCCCAGGGTTAGGATGGGGCAGGGATGGAGGCCCCACAGAAGGGCCAGGCTCAGGGGAGCACCGTGGGGTCAGTGTCCTGGGGCTGGGGCCCCCCGTCAGGACCCGGCCCGTCAGTCGTAGTCCCCATCCTCAAACTTGGTGCTGAAGAAGGTGGCGGAGCCCTTGGCCAGCCGGGCCAGGTGCAGGGCGCCGGTCACCACCAGCCCCAGGAGCAGCAGCGGCGGCACCAGCGTCCACATCGCGGCCAGGATGTTGTAGCACTTGGCTTTGGAGCCGAAACGCCGGGCGGCTTCCAGGTCCCCGGCCACCTTCTGATCCCGGGCCTGCAGGGTGGCCACAGGCCCAGATGTCTACATGTCCTCAGGGCCTGGGGGCCCTTCCCACCCCCACCCCGGGCACCTAGAAGGCCCCAAAATCTGGATGGAGAGGTGTGGCCTGAGGAGGCACTCCCTGGGGCCCCAGCTATGGACCCAGGGGCCATCCAAGGCCAGTGTGAGTCTGTAAGAGCTCTATGGGTGAGGGTCCCCCAGGGTGCTGAGACACCCCGCACCCTGCCACTCAGGAGCTAAAGTCAAAGGGAGCACTGTTCAAGAGGCCCACAGCATGTGAGCCCCCCTGATGACAGACACCTCTCTGGGAGCCTCCTAGTGGCCTCTGTGCTCTTGGGTGGGCCAGACCGCCTTAAGAAGAGGCGCCCGTGTTTAATGGAGAAGCCTGGTGGCCTTGCCTCTGTGAGGGGCTCTTTCCGGGCCATGCTGATGGAGTCACCTTCACAAGCGGTGCCCACAGAGACCCTCACTGGCAAGCAGAGCCCCCTGCGGCCCCCAGTAGGGCAAGGACCCCTGAGAAGCTCCCCACGCCCTGCCCCCTGCTCCCTCCCCCCCCACCCACCTTGATGGAGTTAGCCAGCGCCAGGAAGCCGAGGCAGCACAGGTTCAGGTAGAGGGTGCTGAACACCGACCAGATCAGGTGGTCCCGGGGTGGGGGCTGTGGGGCCCCCAGTGTCAGCGCTGTGTGGGCGCCGGCCTTGCTGGGCGTGGGGGCCCGGGGGTCCTCTCGGGGATACGCCGTGTCCATGGGTTCCAGCGCCGTCTCTTCCACACTCAGACTGGAGCTGGGAGGGTGGGCACCCTCTCGCTTATAACCCGGGTGCCGCTCCCAGCCCAGCCCCTCAGCGTTATATTTAACACAAATTATAGCCTGCAGGCCGAGTGTGTGGCCCGCCCCCCAGCCCCCACACCAGGGAGCACCCATTTGAGGCTGCCTCAGACCACCCAGCAGGGCCTCTCCTGATGGACATCCCATCAGGGAGCCCCCCTTGGAAGGCTGCTGCCGGGCAGTGGCAGAGACCCCCCACCCCCATCAGAGGCTGCTGGCCAAGTGGGCAGTGGGTGGTGGGTAGACCATTGGCCAGAGCCCCCCCCAGGCCGAGAGGAGTTGGAGGTGCCGCCTCAGGGCCATGGGCCTCACAATTCAGGGATATTCAGGAGCCCCCTCCTCAGAACCAGAGCTGCCGAAACCACAGCCCGTGTATTCCCAGGACTCTGAACTCCAGTCTGTCCCTGACACTCTCAGAGCACGAGCTCCAGGCCCCAGGAGCACAGGCGTCCCTGCAAGGGGACAGGGAGGGAGGGCAGCTGTCACAGAGCACCTGAGAAGGAGAGAGCCTCACGGCGGGGGGAGGGGTGGAGATGTCCGTGGTGAGGGGTCCTGTTAGGCTCAAGGTCCACCCCGGTCTTGTCTCTGCAGCTGTAGATGCCTCTGGACGCTGATGACTCTCATTCATGTCTGTAGCCCGGACTTCCCTTAGAAACACTGGTGTGGGTCCCCAGCTCTGGACTCACACAACAGTGCCTGCTCTGTGCAGAAGGCTCACTGGACCCCCACCCACTCCCCGACAATCCCCAGCCGTGGTGCTCCTGCACCCACCTGCCAGAAGGCTCAGCTTCCCAGTCTCCCCGCCGGCCACACTCCCAAGGGCCCGTGACCAAGCTGCCCTGCCCTCCTCCAGGACCCACACTGGCCACCTGCAGGGGATGGTTGGGTGGGGGGTTCCTTCCTGCTGTTGAGCCTGTGGACCCCAAACATCTGAGACAAACCTCAGCTGATGTAGGAAGTTTATTTTGCCATGGTTGAGGACGTGCCCGTGACACCCTCAGGAGCTCCGGACCAAACGTGCCCAGGTGGTCAGAGCACAGTTTGGTTTTACACATTCTAGGGACACAGGAGAATCAATCAACATACGTAAGACAAACAAGGTGGTTCAGCCTGGAAAGGCGAGACCGTGCAAAGCAGGTGGGGGAGAGCGGAAGGGGGTCCGAGGCGGATCAGAGACAAATGGTTTCATTCTTTTGAGTTTCTAATTAGCTTCTTTAAAGGAGGCAATTGGATATGCTTTCGCCTCAGTGGGCAGAGGGCTGATGGCCCTAAGCAATCCCCTGCTAGACCCTTTCCTTTAGCGATTGCAGCACCTCAAGATTTACGTTCCTTTCACAAGCCCCTCGAGAGCCTGTTCTCACTGCTGCAGACAGTGATGACATTAAAACAGAAGACAGGTGTGTCCCTCCTCTGCCCACAACACTGCAGTGCTCCAGGTGTGAACTTAAAATATCCGAGGCAGGCCTCAGTCAACTTAGAAAGCTGATTTATTTTGCCAAGTTTCAGGACATGCCCTCAGGAGGTTGTGGTATGTGCTCAAGGCGTTCAGGCCACAGCCTGCTTTTATACATTTTAGGGAGACACGAGACATCCGTCAATGTCTGTGAGATGTACGTTGGTTCTGTTCAGAACTCGGCAAGGGACAGCTCCCAGGTTATAGGTAAATCAGAGACAAAAGGTTGCATTTTTTTGAGTCCTGGTTCAGCTTTTCACTGAAAGCACAATTTGGCCTGGCTCAGTGAAACTGCATTTTTACATAAACAATAGGGCAGAGGGAGCAATCTGCATTAGTCTCAGGTGAGCCGAGGGATGACTTTCTGTCTCGCACCTGTGAAGGTAAGTTGTCAGTTTACGGTGCCAGGGGCAAGTTCACCAGAACCGCTTTAAGGTAACATCTTGAGACCCACAAGGAAATTCTTGGTGAGCAAATTGTGAGGGAGGTGTGCAGCTGTTTAATCTCTGTAGCTCTCTTATTCAGAAATAAAATGCGAGGCAGTTTTGCTTGACGTCGAAGCCCCCAGCTTGACTTTGTTTCTTGGCTTAGTGATTTTGGAATCCCGAGATTTATTTTCCTTTCGCAAAGGGAAACTGGAATAACCAGGCTGTGGAATGACCCACAGGGCCTGTGAGGAGGCTCCTGTCCACAGCCCCAAGAGGAGATTTGTGTGTAGAACGTTATCGGGGGCTCTGCAGAGAGGAGAGAAGGAATCGAGAGGTGAAGCCAAGCTGCTTCACAGCTGGTGCAGCTGGGATGGCCCCAGCACACGTCCAGGGCAGGCGGGAGGTCTGGGCCCCTCCACTCGTGTTGAGCATTCACTGAAGCAGGATGTGACCTCGAGGATGCATGACCCTGAGTGACCTCAGTGACAACCAGCTCCCCAGAGCCACATGTCCACGAGTCCAGCTGCTGGTAAGGAGGCCTCCCTTTCTGAAGGTAGGTGGGAACCTGCCTCTATGGTATGCATAAGACTGCTGTAGGGCCTCAGCCCCACTGGGTCGTGGGGTGTCCCCTATCCTGTGCTGAGGTGCAGGGACTGAGAAGTAAAGAGACAGGACACAGAAGGTCTGGTGAAGAACATCTGGACTCGGGGGTCACACCACTTATGAGCAGAGACAGGCGAGGCCCCGAACATCCAGGAGCATCTGTATTTATTTGGCACAAGCAAGGGGAAGGGTCATGAGTGAGGTCATCATCTAGAGGCTTAGTGATAGGGCATACGTAATCATGTGAGTCACAAGTGAGGGCGCCGCCCCATTATGTCACCTGGGCAGAGAGGTGGGCCGTGTGCAGTAGTAGAGGGTCGTGTACAGAAAAGGGATCCACCCCCACTATGTCACTGAGGCAAGGAGGTGGGCTGTGTGCAACAGGTGTCCCGCACACCACTTCTTACCTGGGGGCTGGAGACTTCAAAGGGTTTCTAATAGAAGGAATCTGTAAGCCAGTGCAGTGGGAGCTGACAGACGTGTGCTCTTCTCTAAGATATTTATGGGAGGATGATTTGAGCCAGCACAGAAGCGAGAAAAGACTGACAGGGTGCACAGCCGCCGTGACTGGTCACACCAGAGGGGTTCTTCTCCCTCGGTTACTTCCAGGATCTCAGGCCTGAGGCCAACTTTCCACAGGAACTGGATGCAAGGTGCTACAGCTCCTTTATCAGGAGGAGAGGCTCTTGCTCCAAGCCTGCCATACGGCGTATGCCCTTTCAGGCAGGGACGCCACCGCCGGGGTCTCTGGTTCTCGTCCTGGTCTGGCTGTTTTCCCATGTGCTGCTTCTGTTCTGACTGCTCTAGGCATTCCTCCTACTACAGACTACTATGTGGTTCTATGGCAGGATTCTGTAAATCAGCACTGAATGTGTCAGTGCAGCTCCGACTACAGTACCTGTATGATTATATAGAAAAACTATGGAACTAAGTATGCTAGATATGAGTACTAAGTATGATCATGTAAGCTAGGTATATGTAAACAGTAGGTTATAATTCAGGCACTAACACATAATTTTATATAAAGGATTACGTAAAGGAAATAGCTGAGTAATAACACTATAAGATATTCTTCAGGCACTAATTGTGCCTGGGGTCTGCAGCTCTCCTTCCTCTATTCCAACTACACATTTTGGGAGTGGGAAATGCCTGGGGGGACGGTTCCTGGACCAGGGTCCCCCGATTCCTGGGCCCCCGTGTGTCCCATGTGGGCCGGTGGCCAGGATGACGCTTCCTGTGTCAGGACCCTGGCCTGGCCCTGTGGCCAGCGTGGGCTGAGATGTCTGGATCCCCCTTTCCTCAGGGCCCATGACCCAAGCGTGCAGACACAAGCTCCTAGGGCAGGACTGAGGCCTGTGAGGAGCTGGGAGCCTGGTGGGGCACGGTCCCTCCTCCTGGGGCCTCCAGCGTCGCTGAGTGGAGGGCCGGGGCTGATGTCTGGAGGGCCCAGGTCCCGAGTGGTGATGGAGATGTCATCGGTGTCCTGTGTGGGCAACGGGGAGCCCGCTGGGAAGTCTCGGCCAGCGACAGGGTCCCAGCCTGGAAGAGGGGGTGCGAAGAAATAAAGAGAGACAGAAAGCTGGGGTCTGGAGGACTGAATAGGCAATGCCTATGCAGCAAGTTTATTTGTGTCCAGGGTTCCAATAGATACCTTTAGATTATAAGGATTGACGTCAGTGCACATTACGTAAGCTATATGATAAGGGGAACAGAAAGTTGCAAAAAGCACAGAAAGTTGCAAAAAGCAAATGTCAGCAGAGGGCGTACAGAATCGCGGGTCATAAAAGGTAAGCAGGTGATGTACTTTATCATTGTTAACAGAACATGTGGTCACAAGGATAACAACCTAGAAATGTCACAGGCTAAGCCATAAATCTTTATCTGAGTATAGGAATATCATCTGGTCCTCAAAAGGCTATACTTAACTTGGTAAAGAGAGTCATAAAACCCACTCCTCAGCAGGAACCGAAAGAGCACACACATCCATTACCCAGGGTCACTGTAGTCAGAAATAGAGGCTGACGTTATTCTTATTCTCTCCGTTCCTACCTCCCCATAGCTCGACTGCCTCCAGCAGGAAACTATGTCCGGGATCAAGCTCCCGCACAGTGAGGCCCAACACTGGGGGGCTTCACACGGGAGCGTTCCCCGCAGTCCTGCTCTGCCCGGCCCCTGGGCAGATGGCAGCGGGGGCAGCCTGTCCGCCTCCTCCCGTCCCTGCGGGGCAGCGTCTTTCTGGGCGTCTGCGGGACTCCGCTGGCAAGGCCGTGGAGGGAACTGCTCGCACCTGATCCTTCTCCTCTGGGCCATCAGGGCGCCTCTCCCAAAGGAGGCGAGTCCGCGGACGAACCGCCCTGAGTGTGGCTGGTGCGCTCCCAGCCCGGACCGCGGCGCGTGGGGTCCCGGCCGTTCCTGCCGCGAGCCCTCGGGGGGCTGCCAGCCTGAGACTCTCCCTGGACCCGGG